CTCTAGGGAAATTGCTCGATTATTGAGCTATCAGGTATCTTCCTATCATATTATACTTACCTAAAAAACTTACTTTCGTTGAATTTCACTTATTATGATAAAAAAAGCAACGGTAGTAATCGAATTTAAGGTACATTAAATAATATAAAATCAAAATTTTATTTGCTAAGTTTAAGAAGAAAAGCATTTATTCATGAAATTGTGTTTTTTAGTCTGCTCTGATATCAATATTTTCCTTTATTCATATATCTCTTGAAACTGTAATTAATTAGCAATAGGCATGCAAACTGAAAAGAAAAATGGGAGCATGAATTTAATTTGTAAATGCTGGAATGCTGCACCGTAACACTATTATAAATTTAATTACAAAGTGAAAACAAAAAGAGAAATTTAATATCGCATGACTCTTGAATACACGTCAGTAGGTAGGTAGACACGAAGGATTTTGCACTTTCATACATGTCGCATCAAAAAATTTCAAATACAGGGTGTCCCAGAATAACGTGTATAACGAAGGACCACAGATCCGTGGACTCAAAATAGGCAGATTTAGGCTAATTCACCTATATCCGAAATCGCTTCGTTTGGCCGCTAGATGGCCTCAAAGTTCGTGAAATTTTTTTTGAATTTTGTAAATAACTCGTATTAATCGATTTTGATTATTTTTGGGGTGTGAACTCTTTCTTTCAATCTACACATTTTGGTGTTATACAAAGTGTTTTTTAAAACCTGCAGCTCCTATAAAATTGATGTATGGTGATAATATCCGTTCATAACTTTTTCCTCTTTCGGGCAATGACGACTATTTTTTATCTGATAGGTGATACGATTTGAAAGTTTTTGGGCCTCTTGTAGAATTTTGATTGAATGAACGGTTTGGGTACAAAAAAATATTTTTTAAATATCTACGTTATCGTGCCACCCATATTATAATAACTCATACAAAGTCGTATGTGCGTGTGTATCCATATCGAATTAACATGTGGTATATCTTATCGTAGTAAACACTCATTGAGAATTAGCAAGTATAATGACTTAAAGATCAAATTGAAATTAAAGTCAACCTACAACATGTTGTGCCTACTATCACTGTTAAGTATTGTAATATGGGTGGCAAGATAATGTAGACATTTAAAAAATATTTTTTTGTATCCAAACCGCTCATTTAATCAAAATTCTATAAGAGGCCCAAAAACTTCCAAATGGTATCACCTATCAAATAAAAAACAGTTGTTATTATTGCCCGAGAGAGGAAAAAGTTGTGAACGGATATTATCACCATACATCAATTTTGTAGAAGTTGTAAGTTTTAAAAAACACTCTGTATAACACCAAAATGTGTAGATTGAAAGTAAAAGTCCACACCCCAAAAATAATCGATATGGAATAATACGTATTCGAGTTATTTACAAAATTCAAAAAATTTTCACGAACTTTGAGACCATCTAGCGACCAAACGAAGTGATTTCGGATAGGTGAATTAGCGTAAATCTACCTATTTTGAGTCCACGAATCTGTGGTCTTCCGTTGTACACGTTATTCTGGGACACCCTGTATAGTTGTAAATGCACTTAATAAAAATAAATGATTTTATTGTTATCAAAATTTCCTGCATAATTTAAAATTCTTTGGTTCATTTCTCAGTTTTTGGCATTTAAAGAGATTATTGTTAGTTTTCCCATACAAACAGATAAAATTAGCATTAGCGAAGTCGTGTTTATCTACATCAATGTTTTTATATTATATGTTGTCTTATTCAATGTAATGATGATAATGCATTTTCAATTACTTATGACTGTAACAAAATAAGAAGTTTTTTTTATAAATACTATCAAGATAAGTATATTATTATCCGATAATGATTAATTAGATCACTTTCTTCAACATTTTGCATATAACCTAAGTAGTAATGATACATCAGATTTTCTACAATATGTACAAAGTTCCCGTTTTATCGAATTTTAAACGGTTTGAAATGTTTGAATCGGTATCATACTTATATGGTGAAGTTATAACAACGATATTGCATTTGAAATAAGGTCCTTTCTTTAGTAGGCTTAAGGCCACTTTTATAACAAAAAGGGTAATAATGAAAATATGTTTTATACGCTTAACTGTACAAATAAAGATTGTTATATGCAGTGACATTGTTCTAACTGATTGAGTCGCATATTTTTCAATATACTAACTGTAGTCTTCGTAATAATATGATTCTAATTCCACTTTCCTAAGTAGCAACTCCATGCAACTCCATTACCTACCCAATTAGACTGAGCCCTACAGCAAACTCCTTGGAGTGAGATATCCTTTTTCTTCAATTAACTAATTCCATATTATTTAACGCAATATAAATTCTGGATTGCTTGAGTATGAATTCTGTCTATACAGGGTGTGCGTTAAAGATTGGGCCAAACTTTACCGCGGGTTTTTTGGTATGAGAAATTCGAATTTATCGACGATTTTGTTGTATCTTCTAGAGGGCGCCAAAAGCGACCATTAACACGCATTCAAACTGCCCAAACTTTTTTGTGCCACAGGGTAAGTATTTCAATTTGGTCTCAAGAAATCTTTCCCCCCAACTTTTCTGCTTAAAAAGCTAATATCTCTAAAGCCAACTGTTTTCAACAAAAGGGCATTTAAATTTGTAAATGCATAAAAATATGCGTTTAAAAGTTATTTTCAATTCCACTGGTAAACATTGAAAAATATATCTTTTAATACAGGTCAATAATAATTAGTTAGATTTTTAGGTCATTTAGATTGGTCGCATTGTTTAGATTGATTAGATTGTTTTTAGAAAGTAGAAAGTAGTTTTTTTACTCTGTCAGTCCTGTTTACAGTAAAACTGTTAAATAAACGAAATTTAAAATTGCATTAGGTATTTCCTTTAAAAACATATTTCTTGCAAATAAAGGATCACTCCTAATTTTGTTTATCAGTAGAGTTGAAAATAACTTTTTTACGGTTGGTTTTAAAGATGTTAGCGAAGTATAGATATCTTTTTAAGCAGAAAAGTTTGAGAAACGATTTTTCCAGCCTAAAGAGAAATACACCGTAGCACAAAAAAGTTTTGGGAGTTTAAATGCGTCCTAATGATCTTTTATGGCGCCCTCTAGAAGATACAGCGAAATCGTCGATAAATTCGAATTTCTCATCCCAAAAGATCATCGGGTACGAAATTTCACGAAATTAGCTGGAAGCAGTCGAAAATAAACAATAAAAACATAATATAAAAAGAATTATTTGTATGTACCTACGTATTTGTGACATAATTTTTTGCTTTGGAATTTAATAAAATTTGCAGAATAGCAGACTGTTCTTAATGGTAGTTTGATGTATTATTAAAAATATGATTCATTAATCTAAAATTACGTCAAAACAGGGTTTATGAATGGTGTAAGACTTGATTAATTAGTCTTGTTCCTTAACTCAAGCATATAATTCAAAATGCTATAGCGTTATTCATTATGATGTGATAAGGGTATTTCTGCTAAAATATTATATAAAAATATATCTTTATATTATGAACATTATCATGTATTTCACTTTACACAGCTTTTAATTTTTATCACTATAAAAATATGTTTAATTAGGATTAGAATTACGTTTGCATCCTAATTATTAAAGTTAAAACAAATATTTACGATACAACCTATTTATAAGCTCATATACAGAGCCTCCACAAATGATTACAAGCCACGTGATCAGTAATTTTGGTTGGAACAGTAATTTTATTTCCTTCATGTTGTCAAAAAAAGTTCGGTAAAATTAAAAATTATTAAAACAATATGATCAATATTACACGCATTCTATTTTATCGGCTGTGATTGGTGTAATTTTTCACGATATTCTATTCAACCAATCAGCGATCGCATTTTCTCGAGCGCAGACGTAATGTTTTATCATTGTAGACACCAAGATTTAGGAATTTTGCATTACCATACCAATCGTGTAATATTGGCCGCCTAAGGTCTGTGGTCATACAGGGTGTTTCTAAAATAGGGTTCCAAACTTCTGCTGCGTTTATAACTCATTAAATTAAGCCAAAAAGTTCCTATTAACATGTGCCCTAAAATTAAAAGTTATATGCCCTTAAAAGGGCTCAAACAAAACTGTTTTTTTTTCTGTTATTGACTAAACGGTCGCAAATAAATAGAAAAAAAATTATGGGTCTTACATAACTTTTTACGTTAAATAACATGGGCTACTCCGTTTTTCAACATGTAAATCATATGCGTCCCATTTAGGTTGGTGAAGGGGATTTTCGGCCCGTAATTTTTTTTATTTAAACTTTTTTACAATTTTTACTAATAACTTGAAGAGCAGAGTAATTTTCAAACTCAATTTACTCGAAAACCATTGGAAATATCGATTTGGACAAAGATTATAATTTTTTACGTAAAATTGTTAAGATTTTATAAATCTGTAGAGAAAATTGTAAAAAAATTGAATTAACCCCCTTCACCAACCTAAATGGGACGCATACGATTTACATGTCGAAAAACGGAGTAGCCCATGTTATTTAACGTAAAAAGTTATTTAAGACCCATAAATTTTTTTCTAAATAGAAAAAGCACGGTAGCAAATAAATATTTGCTACCGTTTTGTCAATAACAGAAAATAACCAGTTTTGTTTGAGCCCTTTTAAGGGCATATATCTTCCTAAGGGTGCGTTTTAGGGCATATGTTAATAGGAACTTTTTGGCTTATTTTAATGAGTTATAAACGCAGCAGAAGTTTGGAACCCTATTTTAGAAACACCCTGTATACCCGGCAATTATGAAGGCTCTGTATAAAAATAAAATTCATATGTTAGTCACGACTATTATAGTTCTATTTAAGTTCTGTTGAAATGGGTATTAAAAATTAGAGGTAAAAAAGGTTAAAATAAATTTAATTCAAAATTTCGAAAAGTTATATGTAAGCAGATATTTTTGTAATGCCTTATTTATTCTAGCGCTTTATGCATGAATATTATTGAAATAGAATTTTTTTTTCAGTATATAGTACAAACCCGACTACCCACGGTGAAGACGGGAAGACTGCTGAAACCATTCCTCATTTCAGTATGCCTTACTTGGAGCGTGGTATGTTCGTTATCCAGAATAACTGACAGGAGACACCACTGGTGGGACGTTCTTGCGGGCATGACTCTTGGCGCGTTGGGTGCGCTGTATACTTTAAAACTGATTCACAAAAAATTAAATGGCATTGAAAAGTCGCCCAGGATATCCACATCAACCACAACTTTACTAGACGTGAAGAATAAAGACGCCACTAGTGTGATTATTTAAATTTAGTTGTATTATGAAACCAAGCGTACTGAGTGTGTTTTTATAAAGTACACAGGTTTTTATTTTATCAGTATTTTCATCTATGTGTAGTTTACATGTTATTTATTGTTGTACATATTTCTACAGAACCAAAAATATATTCTTTTTTATACAAAATGATTTATTTATTCCTGTAGTTTTCAGAAACCATAAAAAACAGTTTGTTTTATGTAAGTTATTAAAATAATATTTTAGATATATTAAGAGCACTGAACTCCAAGCGCTGAATGATAAGCGTTAATAATAAAGTACACCTCGAAGTACACTAAACTAAAAGGCTTATTTATATGGTTGCCTGTGGCAATAAAACTTATACTGTTGAGATGACTAATATTTCAAAAAATGAATTATAAAAATTAGGAAAAATAAGTACCTAAAATGTTTATGGTTACTTTTATTATTAATTCTTTTCATATAAAATAAAAAAATTAAATCGCAAAGTTAGTAGCTATTTTTATACAGGGTCTAACTTTGGGCGGAGGTTATATTTATACAGAGGCTACCTTTGACCCTTAGAAACACGTATCAATAGTTTATTTTTTCAAATTTCGTTGTGAAACTTAATTTTTTTTCTTAGCCTTTTTAGTAATTTTAATACCTCGTCGCTAGACAAGCTAGTGTGACCTCAAATAACGGTGCACTGTAGTCGCAGCGCATGCACAATTGGGACTAAGCTGTGCATTGTTGTCAAATCACAAAATTATAGAAAAGGTTATTAAAAAGCAAATTTCCAAACCACCCGTCGTGAGGTAGAGATGTTTTAAAATCTTATGAGCTTTGACCTTCATATGCGCAGAAACATAATTCCGACCGTCGCCTAAATTATTCTACGTCCTAAAAACATTACGCTTATTATTCACAGTCTCTCTCGAGCTCTAGCGTAAACAAGTCTTTGATCCGATTACAAATATCATAATAAAATGCCCTTTTCTTTATTATTTTAATTTAAACAATAAAAATATATATAACGAACGTTCGTTAGTTGACTTTATTGATGCCCGAGCGCCTTAGTTCATTTCTAGTTGTAATGAGGCACGTGGTCTAATTCTGAGTCAATGTTTTCACAACGTGCTTATTAGAAGAATTATGGGGACACGCCACGCCTTTCGCGCATTTCGCGGCTCATGAGATATTAAAAGATCTCTACTTCTGTTTGGCGTCAGGAGCCCTATCATCCCACAAAAACGAAAATTTTATTTATTTAAAAAAGATTAACTATGGAACAATAACAATACTTACTAAGTAATTTAAAAGAAAACTCAAGCAGTACCTAATCAATAAATAAAATACACAATAATAAGTAAATAATCTGTTTACTCGCCTTATTTTTACAGCATCTAACATACTTGAAATTTTGTTGCCAATTTTTAAGTACTGGCACCAGTATCATCTTCTGCGTTAAAAAATTTCTAATTCCATATTTCTCCAATAATATCTTAAATATTCTCAAATAAATAAGTTTATAGGATTATACACTTACATCACACAAAGGCACTTAACGAACATCCTCTCGTAAACCGATAAAGTCGAAAAATAAAACAAAAATGTAACAAACCTGTTTACCATCCTGTCATATGATACCAGGTGTGAAGTCTATTGGCAGTAGTCTCTTACAAACACAGAGATATGGATGGCATTCAACAGAACAGCTGTGGCTAACCTCCGTAGCCCTTCGAAAGCGTTCGAAACATACGGGTATTCTGCTTAAATTTAAACTGTTCATGGTTTAATATTGATGCTATTTTATTTATTTTGAATAAATTAAATAATGTCTAGCATCGATTGGCTGCGGAATAGGAAAAAAGAGTGGAAACATACCATACTTCTTTACATACCTTTTTAACTTTCCAAAATACGTCCCCATTTACTGTGCGTAGTGACAGATACTAAGATTAACAAAATAAATGCATACGCTGCTTAAAAAATAGTAACATAATTGTTTGTAAGCACTCGAAACGATTTTTAAAAAATTTACAAATTTTAAGCATAAACATAAATATTCTTGAAATATTATGGTTAGAAGTGTCTGCGACAAGGGTTTGTATTGCTATGAGTAACTCGAGAACGGTGAATCTTAGGGAAAAAATTGAAATTAACTTTTTTACGTATTTTGTGCATTAGAATATAAATACATTATAATAGGTTGTAAAAAATACAGTAGCGTAGGTTTTCTTATCAAAAAGGATGTGACCCCTGTCCAGTTGTCCAATGGTTGAACCTTTAGAGCTCATATGGAATGCAAGGCCTATTATCATACATTATATGTACCAAATTTTATTCAGATCAGTTAATAGATACCTGAGATATAAATAGAAAATCAATTCTTTTTAACAATTTCAACACCCTGTATCTCTAAAACGGAACCGTTCCAGACCTATGTTTATAAGGCAAACACCTATTATTTTAAAGAGATCCATCTGCCCCCGAAGTTATCTGCATAAAATTCGGACCACCCTGTATATATAATTACAATTATACAGGGTGTTTTTTTCAATGTTTTTCAAACATTTGCCGAAAAACTCGAAAAATGTGGGCAATTTTAAATAAAAAAGGTACTCTTGTTTTCTAAATATTGAACAAAAAATCATTTGTAAATTAAGTAACTTTTTCCTCATTCTGAAAAGTATTCTAATGTAGCCTTAAACCTGACAGGCAGGACAAGCTCGTACCGATAAATTGTTCCATTTATTTTTTCTTCCAATATTTTTTCTTTAATTGATGTAAATTTTCTGGATAACTAAATACACGATGACAGCATATTTAGATACCATTAAAAATTCAGGTAAGTAGTAAAATCTCTATTTTTATAGATTATAATGTCAAATTTTCACAATTTGTTGTAACTTTTTTACCTTCCTGCTCTTAAAGAAGATATTAAATAAAATACAGACCTTAGAAATTGTCCATAAAGAATATAACAGCTATATCCTTGGTCCAGTAATTAATTTATGCTGTCGCATCCGGTCATTAATAACAAAGTGGCCTGTCCTCATTATGTACTTTGCAATCAATTAAAATAGACTGGCATCAGCCGCAAAGGAAATAAATGAGACTAATAGCTCTCATAATAGATATAAAAGTTTCAGGAGCAATATCTACATTGTTTATTACTTGTAGCGTATTTTCAATGGAAAAAACACCCTATGCTCATATTTTTTGCATGTTACAACTTCACAAAGAATTATCCCATTAGGGTTTTCCAAGTTTTCTTCTCTTATAAATGTTTCATATTTCTAAAGATTGTCACGTAATTAATTATTTTGTAATTGTTATAAAAAAAAAAACGAACTAATGGGGTTCAGTGGTGGTTCAAAAACTTGTAATCGAAGATTGTTGGAAACTCTCTGGTTGGAAATTATCAGTTTTCAGTAACACATAACGGAGTCAAAAAATATATTAAGTACTTATATCACACTCATGTCAGATATTTCTTATGCGATTTAAACAGTAGGTAACACTACAACAAATTTACAAAATAGAAGAAATCTTAAACGAGTGCGATAGATAATGACATATTTTTTCCGTTTGAATTATCCTTACTAAAAATAATGACCATTTCCCATAATTTTCGTGAAAGAACATTCGATTAGAAGTTTCTAAACTCTATTAAACATATTATATAACTTCTGCAGAAACAAACCTTTTATAATCAACCAATGCACGCTCGTATTGAAAGACACCATAAAGACAGTCTGAGTGCGGTATCCTATGTGAAAATATGTGTATTCCATGTATTTTCTGAGAGCATGGCCATAATAAGGTATCACAGTTTATTCTCCAAAGACTTTCACATTGCACAACTATCATCAGTGTCATTTTTCTTCAAGAATATAAGAAAAAAAATACGAAACGGTTTATTGCCTAAACTATCCAGATTGATTGAACTAAAAAGAACATGCGGCAAAAGTGGAGATCAATTCTTGAGGATTATGAAAGAACTACCTTCAACCTTAACAACTTCTTTTATGGACAACTGTGTAAATTCTATTCATTATTTGTGACTTCACACTGTAATTTAATTACACTTTCTCCACGAGTTTATCTTGCATCCCGGTTCTCAATTGAATGATATTTACTTTAACAGTCTCTTACTATTTTTCCGTATTCGTCATTCCGTCCTGGTTATTCTTCATTTCATTTTTTAAGTCTTCTTGCAGTGACGGCTTGTCGTATGAAGCAACTGAGGCCGAGTCTCACTGTAAAATTTGGCTTTCACACCGTATATATTAATACCTAAGTAAACAGTTAGATAAACTAATTTCCAATTACCTAATACATTCATCAAAACTCAAAATAACAGTATAATATAATTGTTTGAATATTGAATATCTCGCCGCTCGCGATTTCTATCGGCGCGGCATTGGATACTGTTACTCCCCACTAGTCCCCACCACAGTGAGGCCATAAATTCTTTGCTTGTAGGCGGGTGACACTACTACAATATGTTACACTTCCCCCTCTACGCGAAGCGATTAAAATAAGGTGATTTTCGAGGGAAATGAGGCCAGCTCAAAGCTGCTTGTACTTGTCTTGTAGCTTCAGTTCGTGGTTAATGCACGCGTCGTATAGTACACGGGTAGTGTCTGATGTCAGTGTCAGGGATAGTACAAAGGCTTTAAAGATAACGACAAGGCAGGTATTAATTTAAAGTAAATAAAAAACAACTTCTTTACAACAAAACAAAGTAAGATCAAATTTAACGTAATTTAATAGATACTTATTATATTATCAAATACCTACTTAGGTAGCTAATAATGAAACTATCTCACAATATTGTTTTATCTCTTGAAACACCTTTTTCAAGACGTAATGACGTAAACTACTGCTTTAAACAAAATAAAATCAAAAGTCAAAGAATTTCTGAATTAAGAAACGAAGAAAAATTTTAAAATATTTTTAATTATGCGAAAAATATTACTGAACTAGTAACCGGGGCGAAAGTTGCGACGAATTAGAAATATTTTCGAAATATATTTCCCTTTAATTAACTCGTTTTGATTTGATTTTTTTTTTGCTTTAATAAATTCCTCAAAATTTCCCGAATATGCAAAAAAATTTCCCGAATTTTGTTTGAATGTTTATTATAACTGTATCGAAACATTTTTAAAATA